TCTACCTGGGGAAACGATGTCGGTCCATTTCTGTGGACCGCCCCAATTAATATAGTTGAACAGTGAAGCACCGCCATACTGGGTTGTATCCTGACCGTTTGTGGTATCTGCAGTATCCGTGATATCCGTAGCATGAGCGGCCAGTTGAGCTTCGACTTGCTCATCAGTAATGGGTGGAATGATGCAAGATTGATCTGGCAGGCTCGAAAAATGGTCCAGCTTGGGGACTACCGCAGCGAGCGCGCCGCAAACCAGGAAGGAGACCACGGGAATACTGTAGAGCATGGCTGTGATTGTCGGGGTGCTGCTTTCAGTGAGTCCGAGTTCCAGAAGTATCAGATAAGAGAAGAGGATACCAGAGATTCGCAGCTTATGATGATGGAAGGTATGACCGGCTAGCTCGGCTTGGCGCAACAACGGGGCTTGGGGTCGTCGTCGATGCAGCAACTATGGAAGTGAATGCTAGCCCGTAGTCGCGATATTGGCATCACTGCTGCACGACCGAATGCATCTTACCACTCGGAAGGTTCGTTGGCCACCAGTTCCGACAGATGCGGAGCGTATGGCGGCGGACTTTCGGGGTCCTAGTGAAGGTGAGACCGCTACCTTGCGTTCCCGAGCCAGATGTTATAATCTTGCCGCCTGAATAAATCTGCATTCACCGAGACGCAAAAAAGGAACAGCGCTAGCGATATTGTGCCCTGCCACTTAACAACAACAGCCCAAACCTTCCCCACAAACCAAAGCCGCAATCGTTGCGCCCACGACTCAGCCAAGATGGCGCACTCTCCTACCAATTCAGGACTCAAGAACATGCGCGACTTCTTTACACGCAGCGAGAAGGAGAAGATCTCACCTGAGCTCAAACAAGCACTGTCGCTACTGCAACTCCCCAACTTGGACAGCCTCGAAGAGCGCTTTCTCGCGACCGCTGCGTTTCTAGAGCCATGGGCCGTATTCCGCGATTCGATATTCCTGCGTCAACCGGAGGCGGTACCACGTGCAACGGCGATAGCCAGAGAGGAGGGGGAGGACGGTGTGTCTCGCACAGACCTGTTGTGGTTTTATACACGATTCGACGAAGGTGTACACCGTTATGACCCACGCGCCGACAAGTACAGCGCGGAGTACACATCAGACTTCAGCGTGCATGGAGTGATCGACAAGAGTGATTGGACTGTGGAGGCGTACGAGAAACACCTCTTCGCCTGGTTGCTGCAGGTATTCAAGGTCGGCAAGTCGCGCAATCCGTGGAACATTGACTACTTCGAGCTCCGCAACATCTGCACAGCCTGGGAAGCAGTCTTTGTGCCGATCGTCAATGCTGTTCGCGCTTCCTACAGTGTCAAAGGCCGACGACACTACGGTCGCCTCGCGCTTTACATCGAAGAGCGGTGCCCATCTGGTCTCGCTTTTCCCAAGGACAACGTTTTGGTACCTGGAGGAAGCCTGATGTCGCCCACGCCGTACCGCATAATCTCCTTGCCGAAGAAGGTCGTCAGTGATGAAGGCGCAACATTCCACAAGCGTGTTGGCGGTGCTGGAGTGTTCACGCGAAAGCAGTACGACGACGCCGAGAAGGAGCTTCGCGATGTGTACCCTCAGTATGGCGGTTTGGTTGAACGGCCCAAGTTCAAACATAAGATGGAGGAGTGGTTGAATGAACAGCGAGCCCGAGCAGAACGCAGGAAGGCCGCAGAGAAGACGGGCGAAGTGAGGGCCTTCCAGCCCCAGGTGGTAAAGCGTGACGGTAGCCGGAGCCCAGGAAAGAGCAGCTCTCCCGATAAGGACCGCAGCAGACAAGACCAGGATGGCAGCGAGAGCCCAATCAGACGGTACTCAGATAGCATCCGCCGCTCGCTGTCTCGAGGCATGTCCAGAATGGCGTCGAAGGAGGAGCCGAAGAGTCCGCTGCATGGTGTAACACGACAGATCCATCTACCTGATGAAACACCAGCTTATCGCCCTTCCGAGCCCTCGTCAACCGAGAGGCATGTGAGTGGCGCCTCAACGGATACCACTATCATCACGCCATGGCCCCGTCCTGATACAGTGCGCAAGCCATCTGACCAGAGTGTGTACACGTCAACCCATATTTCAGACACTCTCATCCTTCCCGATAGCCATCAGCGCATGCAGATGTGCGACGACACGGACGAATCGATACATTCGCCCATGGGCCAGTTGAGTGCTCTACCACAGCCGCTGCACCACAAGTACCAGCCTGAGATGCGGGTCGCGCCAACGATCGAGAAGGGAAGAGCACACCAGGATGCACGGGTTCCAAGCTACGAGGGCAGTGGTTGGGACGACGAGATCTCGTTGACAAAGCTCAAAACTGTACGCGAGGACACTGCGAGAGATCCGCAACGCGTTCAGCCCTCAAAGCCAGTCACGAGGCTTCCTGTGCCTATTAAGCCAACTGCATATACCGGCGATCTGCGTATCGCGTCGAACGACATCCATCGCAAGGCGACACCAAACCCTCTTGCGTGGCCGGGTACTTCTCCGCCCAGAGCAGTACCATGGCCCGGAATGGAGCATACCGTTCCGTCCGTGTCATCCAGAAGCCCCGAGCGATGGAACAGTACACGTGGGCTGGCCAGCAGCGCTCGTCCTCAACAGCTATTGCGCGATGAGTCTGATCGCAGCGTTACGCGCATCGTTTCGAAAGAAAATATTCGCTCCGTGCTCAAGGGTAACTCTCGTGATAGCTCAGCAGAAGATCTACCTCTGCCGCCTCCCGTACCGATGCTCCCAGGGCAGAATAGAACGATGAGTCCTGCTGGCGCTAGGTTGCAGACGTACAACACAAATCTATTCCCGCGTCGAGAAGAGCGCAGAGGAACTCCAGTCGGTGGGTGGGTTGGTGCGGACAAGAGCAGAGGTGCACATGGCGGTCCTTTTGAGCTAGATATGCTTGATGGGGCGAATTCTGGCCAGGGTGTTCAGAGCAGGACTGCAGGAGGCGATACACGATACCATGAGGAATACCATGGCAGGCATGAGCCTGACGACCGTCGCAGTCTCGAGAAATGGATCTGAGGTTGTGGTGCCGTCAAAACACCATATGACAAAAACACTCGTCGTTTGACCGTAAATAGCTCCTTTCAGCCTTGGATCTTATTTTGTAACTGCCGACTTGGCGTTGGGAAGTGAGGCATTTGGTCTCGGGATCTTGTTCAAGGGTGTTCGGTTGCGCGCTGTTACGGCAGGTGCTGGACGATGACAGACTGTAGGGAGACTTCAGGGAGCAATAAAACTAAACGATAGAGAACAACGAGAACTCGGGATGAGATGCACAACCGTCGTGAAGACTTGATTGCGGCCTGTGAGGGATGATGAGTGGAGGTTTGAGGACGCGCAGCACTCGCAGCCGCCGAACGAACGCGAGAATGTCACGCTAGCAAATCCAGCCTCCGGCACGTGACTGCTCATGAGATCACGTCCTATATGATATCTTTCTATACTGTAGATGCAGTAACAGGAATGCTTCATCGCCCGGAAATTCAGCATCTGCTCAGCAGGTTGCTAGCTTGATTCGTACCCTGATCCATCCTATGGTACGAGACACCGCCCACGTATCCGAGAAGTACCTAGGTAGGCAGTATTACTATAACTTCCGCCTTGACTCAAGTGCTAATAAAGACGTTTAGCGAGCGCATATGCTTTATGTGACAAACGCGCAACTCAACAAGTATACCGATCACAACGTGGAAGCTTCGACTAGTAAGTGATGTTCTGTGTTGAGGGGAGCCGGTGCCGCGAGAGAAAGGTGGGGTCAGCCTGCGGTTGTAATCGCTCCCAGCCTCCTCACCTACATTTTGGTTGCTCCCGTCCTCGAGTACCTATGCGCCAACACTCTCTTATACGAATGAAATCCTACATACAACGTTTTGCTGGACGCCAAGATGCCCAGACACAGGCAGGAAAAGAAGCAGGTCCCCGAAGGCTCGAGCGCAAACGCTAATTCGAAGACGTCACCGCAGTTTACCGGACTGGCCGCTGAATTGGTGGCACACATCACGTTGTTCCTTCCACAGGTTGATCTTCTCAATCTAAGCTTGACATGTAAGACTCTTCGACAGCATGCAGAGCCGGCACTCTACCGAGAGTATATTCAACCGCATGGTAGTCCACTCTCGTCATTCGTCGGCAGAATCGTAGCGAGGCCAGACATTGGCGAGAAATATGTCCGTAGAGTAGAATTACATTCGTGGATTACGAGGATCTCGAAACCCCGTCCAAAGCTTATGTCCCGACAAGAGTACGACAAATTTACGGAAGCTGCAAAGGCTGCGCAAGTCATTGATGTCATCGTCCCGTATGAAGCCGCAGGGGCGACCGCAGAGGAGGCTGCTAGCCACCACAATCAGAAATGGTTCCAGGATCTCTTAGCCATCGAAGGACTATCGCTGGACAATCTTCCTGAACCTCCATACGATCCCCCGTACGATCTGTTGTTCTGTCGTACTCTGCGTGCTGGGTACGAAGATGCATTGGTCGCGCTGATGCTAGCTCTGCTACCAAATCTTCGCATACTTGAGTTGCGCGCCTTTCCGACGGATGCTTTGGAATTTCTACTACCTTGGAACTTACCCGCACACGGGTTTTCCCAGCTGGTCAGAATCACAGCGACCAACGATTGCGCAGAATCATGGCCCTCGACGTTTTTGCAAGATATTCTGGGCAATACCACACTACAAACCATTGAGCTGGCCCGAGTAAGCTTATGGTACAATAGTCCGAATGGTCCCCTCCAGGTCCCAGGCTTTTCTGAACCCTTGGGATGCACAACACTTACAACGCTCCATCTTCCCAACTCTGCCATCACAGGCGAGGAAATGCAAAAGTTGTTGTCCGCCTCCTCTCGGTTGAAACGGCTTTATTATTCATACAACCCGTACTTAAGCCCTGGAGGTTGTACAGCAGCGGAGCTCATCACTTTGCTTGAACCTTTAAAGCATACGTTGGAGGAGTTGTTTCTCGATATTGTCCACATGCCAATAAGTCTGGCCGATCTGGACGATGAGAACGAGGAAGACGAAGAGCAACATAGTTCTGACCATCTGGTTGACTCGCTGAGCCACTTCACCGCCTTGAGGCGATTGGATACCACTGCTGATGTATGGAGGATGCTGGATGAAATGACTGTTGCGAATGCATACGAGTGGGGTCCTACGGATGTCTCGATCGCAGTATCAGACCGCTGGTGCTTGCGATTACCTCAGCACCTGGAGCTTTTGTGCCTACACATGAACGAGGACAACGCTCCGGCAGATCCCCGCCAACTATATGATCTGATCACCACCCAAGAGCAGGTGCTACCTGAGCTAAAAGAGCTCTGGATACGGGTTGAAACTAAAGAAGATCGAACCCACTTTATAGACACATTTTCTATGCTCGCCGAAAAAGAAGAGCACCCCCGATTGTACACACAGTACCCCCTGCTAGTCAAAATCGAGCTTGCTTCTGAGCTATCTGGTCCTATAGAAACAACCTTCCACGACTGGCGACACCCCAAGGAAAGGTCTCGTACAACGTGGGGTGGGCATATGTACGTGCTTGAGCCAGGTAGAGTCCAGACAGACGATGAACACGATACGTGGATACGACAAGTGACTGGAGAAGCCAAATCCTTTGACACAGGAGGTTATTTATCTGAAGAAGATATCGACATAGGCATGCTGGCTGGAGCATGGTGATATACGTTAGACGATGAATGGAGAGTTCCGTCGGATGTTCGATGGGAGTGGGAACTTGCGTGCACCTTCAAATTTGTGCCATGAATGTTAGTAACATTTATATAATCATGGCTGCAAGCATCGTGCTTGAGCTCATGAGTATTTCTCAATGTCTCGTTGTGCGATCTTCCTCGAGGCCAGTATTGGCTTGTAACCGCGCAAAGTCGAGTGCGCAGGCCATCGTCTTCAGGCTAAACTGTCGTTACAAATGTCACAAGTCCAATCGAATATGAACACAGACATGACAAATGTATCGCGCTTTGCAGGATAAAAATATACAGTCTCAGCCATCTCAACCCGCTTCGGCGATGGTGGGACACGCTATACCTGTTCGAGTTACAGCGGAACGCGCTACCGTCATCGATTCACCGCAACCAGCCTATTCAGCGTCGCTCACTCAGTTTGGCGTCTCACAACCGTCTTGCCGACATTTGCTCATCTGAATCTCGAATTTGATGCGGATGCGCCTCCTGTCAGACTAAAATAGGTGGACGGGACGGGGCGTTCTCATCTTGCGGATCAACAACCGCCGTCACCGCCTGATTCTCTGCCAGCTGCTATCTCATCGCGCAATTTCAACATGGGTAGTCTACTTTCTTCGAAGGTCGCGGATGACTGGAAGAGCGATGCGCGCTGCGCTATGGAAGATTCAAGATTCTGCGTTATATGTGGTGGTCCTTTCGATGTCGAAGGCGATGTTTACAACATCGACCCAAAAGACATGCGGTTCCAGGTAAACCATCTCTTTGAAACAAGCGTTACAGACTGCTGATATTTCGCGCATCGTAGTGGTTGTACAGCCTTCGTCTTCTTGGTAGCATCGAAGATGTAGCTGAACATACGGTAGCTAGCGAAGGATCGACGTAAGAAGCGGCTCTCAACTATCTTCACGCGCTAAAGTCCGGACAAGGCCGATCAACGTGTCTGAAATACCAGGTATCTTCCTCTCCGAGATTGCGTCCTTCAACATGGCTGGTTCGGGCTACTTTCGAATTGTTGGCGACGCTGGCCAAGATGATATCTGGCTCGACGCTTTGTGTTATGCACCGGATTACCGAACCTTGTTCCCATTACATGAATCGTGTATCGCGATCAGTTGTCGAGCCATTGACCACTTCGACTCCAGAAGGAAGGATGCCGTGCCGACGTCTGCTCTTAAACTGCTGTATCGTCTGTTGAGTGCGCGTTTCATTCGACGAAAATGCCGTATAGACGAGCCACTCGAGACATCAAACGACATTTTTGATCTTTGTTCTTCTTCATGCGATTATGGACCTAGGAGCGCATTGGCTTTGAGCAGGCTAGAATGTTGGGGCGCAAAGTATGATGTAGGCAACCACAATATGTCCTTCAAGCTCGCCATTAATGATTCACAGAAGTTCTACACCGATCCCATCGAAGTGGGAGATATTGCCTTTTTCGTACATAAAGTATTGCAGACTTCGCCGCGTCGTAGAGAAGAATCCAAGTGTACGCCAAAAGCAACGCGCGAACCCCAAAGATTGGAGCGCCTGCCGACGGAATTATTGGATGTGGTGTGCAGCTACCTTCCAATACAGTCTGTCATAGCACTCCATTGTACCTCAAAGATGCTGGCTCTGCAGATACCACTCGATTCCGCTTTCTGGCGAGACAGCCTCCGGGACGGAAGTCTACATCCGCATGTTTGGGATCTGGACACCAAGTGGATCGAGCAGCATCTTACTACTCCACATGCAGCACTTCTGGACCCTACTGCTTGCTGGGACTGGAAGTTTGCCGCGAAGCTTCTTGCGAAGAAACGCTTTCGGGTCAGTGGATGTGACGAGCGTCTACTTGACGTGCCTGACGGACTTTGGAACAGGTGTAGGATATGGGCTACTATCGAGGAAGCCTTAGGAGAGCAAGAAAGAGAAAGGTCGGAGAACTAGCGGACTAGGTTCAAAGGCGTAGTCATAAGACTGTCTGAAACCCAAGCAATCGCGACATCAAGCGGCTCCTGACCGTCAATCAGTCCAAGGAAACGACGCCTGCTCATGGAGAAAGGTTTGCATAGATGTGCACCTTCTGCGACTTCTTGCAACACGGCCACCGACCATCGCAACCAACGCTCAAGAAATTTGACGGCCTTTGCGTTCAGGGCCGTGCTAGCGAGGCGACAAATTTAGGCCAGCTTTCGGCAAACTGCCCGTAGAAGTCGCAAGACGCACTGGTCACAAACAAGTACGCGGCCCGTTCACGCAGCGCTCTTGTCAACGGTTCGACATCTTTTTGCGGAACTGAATGTATCATATACGCAGTACGAGACCGTTCGTACGGCGAAGTAGCAAGCCACTCTTGGTACTCTTCGGTCACGAACTCCTTGTAGGCTGTTTCCACCACTACTGTGACCTCTGGTCCCGGAGTCGCGAGCTCAGTACTGACTGCTGTGCCAGGATTGTGAATGATCTTGGCCTAGTCAGCTTGGGTAACTCTCATCCGTCCAGCATGGATAAATGAAGACTTGCCATTCTCTCCTCCGCGACGCCAGCAAGGACATGCGCTCTGCGATCAACGGTGTCGAGGTAGCTCTTGACTTCCTCCGAGTACAAATTCACTGTTTCATCAAGGAAGATGCCGTCCACTCTATACCCACTGTTCTCTCGACCTCTTCTATCATACGATTCGATATCATCAAGGATGTCTTGAACAGGCCGTTTGCAATAGGTTGTACGCACGTAGCCCAGGGTGGTGACGTTCGGCAATGCATTTAGCCGCGGTATCTCCCGGAGATAGTCCTCATTCGGCCACCACGGTGCAGCACCCGGTCCGCTGTTTGGATTGGCGATTACCAGAAACTGAACATCCGGCGCCGCGGCGATGCTGAGAGAAGTCAGTGAAACTTCGTGTTAGCGGTGAAGGAAACACTACGCTGTATAGAGAGGATCCCATGCACCCGGATGGGGGTAAATGTAAAGCGGAAGAAGTATCTTTGAACGGAGATCTGGCGACATTGTAACGTGGAAGGGGTAGATGTGTGAAGAGGAAGAGGTGGCATCACGAATCTTAATGAAGCGCCGACTAACCACAAATAGCAACCCGCAATGCACCACCTCTCTTACAAAACATATGTCTGTTTACTTACTGCGACGACAATGCGCGCCACTCAGTTCCGCCGGTGGACGATTCTTGAACGTGCACCACGTTTTTAGACCAAACCTTGGACAACAATGCACATTGGACGTCGGAAGCTGCCTATGGGAAGATCTTCTTCTCGCATGCCGTATTGGGGGACCTCACCAGCTCCCGACGTCGGCATCCGACTAACAGGGCCGTCTTACACAAGCACCATACAAGAAAAGAAAAACTAAATAGGTCTAGGGCCTATGTTAACGTTAGCTTACTTATTTCGTATGTTTCTATATTAATGTAGGCTGCAGATCGCTTCCGCCGAAACCTTCGGCGGAAGCATGTGCCAAGCGCTCGCCCTCCATTCGTCCTCCGACGAACATCTACTCAGCCAAAGAAATCGGAGCTTTGCTCGAAGAACCGAATCATGTATTCGTCCGTACATCAGTATATGTGTGGCACTTCTGCTACTCTCCTTTACCGCTGCAAATTGTCCCCTTAACACTCCCGCCAACATCGTCCTTAGTTTCGACTACAGATGCACACGATGAACGAACACAACTTACACACCTCGATCGCATTCGATGCAACAGCGCAATCGGCTGGTGGCGTCGTGAGACCAGAAAACATCGCTGAGGAGAAGACGCAGCAGCAGAACAACCAAGGCATCGAGGAAGATGTCAAATCTGAACAAGACGAGAAGCCTGATGATATCAAAGAAGAATATCCGAGTGGCATACTGCTGGTGCCCATATTGATTGCCATACTCTGCGCAGTCTTTCTTACAGCCCTGGATATGACAATTCTTGGAACAGCCATTCCCAAGATCACAGACGAATTTGGAGGTCTTAACATGGTTTCATGGGTGAGCTTTTACACGCTCGCTCTGGCTACTTGAGTGCTTGAATACTGACATGTCTTAGTATGGTTCCGCGTACTTCATGACGTTCGGCGGTTTCCAGTCCATGTCTGGCAAGTTCTACCGCTACTTCCCACTCAAGTGGTCCTTCCTGGGTGCCATTTTCGTCTTTGAAATGGGAAGCTTGATCTGCGCCGTCGCTCCAAATTCTATAACTTTCGTCGTTGGCCGCGCAATCGCTGGTGTCGGCTCCGCCGGCGTAGTAACTGGGGCGTTCACTATGGCGGCGTTCGCGGCAGAGCCTAAACGGCGACCAGCTCTAATGGGGATTGTTGGTGCTGTATATGGCCTTTCCAGCGTCGTCGGTCCGCTTTTGGGAGGAGTCTTCGCGGACACAGTGAGCTGGCGATGGTGGTAGGTTCATGTTTTCTCATGACTGTTCCGCTCACATGCTAATTATGGCACAGCTTCTACATCAACCTTCCTATCGGCGGCGCCTCTGCAGCACTGATCCTATTCACTTACAAGACTCCACCACAAGCTGTCATTACCCAAGCGACTTGGAAGGAAAAGCTCTTGCAAATGGATCCTCTCGGCATTGCGCTCGTGATGGGTGGCATCGTTGCATACATCTTAGCATTCGAAAATGGCGGCCAGAAGCGACCTTGGAACAGCAGCTACGTCATCGGCCTATTAGTAGGCTTCGTCGTTATCGCAATTACCTTCATTACATGGGAGATCTTCAACGGCGAGCGTTCGATGCTTCCACCCCGACTTCTCCGCGAGCGAACACTATGGCAGCCATCTGCCTTCATCTTCTTCTTCTCATCATCATATCTCGTCTTGCTGTACTACCTACCTCTCTATTTTCAGAGCGTCGACAACCGTAGCGCAATCAATTCGGGTGTACTGAACCTTCCACTGGTCCTCGCAATGGTGTTGGGTAGCATCGTCAGTGGCGGTGTTGTCTCAAAGACAGGCTATGCTGCACCTTTCATGATTGGCGGTGCCTTTCTAGCGACTATCGCTACCGGTCTAATGTATACATTCGACATTGGTACTGGGCTGGGCAAATGGATTGGCTATCAGGCCTTTTACGGTATTGCAGTCGGGTTAGGCTTCCAGATGGCCATCAATACTGGTCAGGCCAATGCAAAGGCAGAGGACATGTCCTCAGCGACGGCAACGATCTTTTGTATGCATACCAGCTCTTTTCACATAGAATCAACTAACACATCGCAGTTTTCCAAACCATCGGCGGTGCATTCTCGTTGACTGCGGCTCAGTCTGGATTTGTCAATCGCATGATCAACACGCTTGCGAGCACAGCACCGAACGTGAACCCGCTGGCAGTAATTGGATCTGGTGCGACCCAACTTCGGGACAACTTCGCCGCGGAAGACATAGCAGGCATAGTGGTCGCATACATGGCGGGCATCAGGATCGCGCTCGTTATTGCGACCGCTTTGGCTGGTGCAGCTGCCGTGGCTGCCGTATTGGTACCCTTCAAGAGGCTGAACATGGAACAGGTGCAGGCCGGAGCCGCGTAGAGCACACGCGCTACGTCTGGGTAGGGATGCACGACAAATCGCCCGCACTTGCTACCGACGCGACGCTATCGCTGGGGTCGTGCTGGACATACCTGGATTGTACTTTTGGCGATGCTTGGACATGCATCGCCTTGACACGTTTGAGGCATGTGTGTTGTCTGATCTTGTAATAGTAGAGATATTCATAGAATTGTAATCAAAACGCGACCGCTTTCTAGCCAGGCCAACGAAAGTCCGTTGCGCATCGACTCAATGATGTGGTGGCTGGGTGTTGGCCTTGCTGATGCCTGAAGGATGTGTTCGGCGGAGAACCTTCCGCCGAGGTCTCGGTGATTGCCCTCACTCTTTTCCTTTCGCCCCTAAGTTACTAACTTCTCCCTATGTCACCATCATCGCATCTGTTTATGATACGATGCCAGCAACAAATTCACTAGATCCAAGCGTGCCACACGTTTGGTCGCTTTGCTCGAGAGGAGGTACCGTGCCCTCAACTCAGGCTACTGTCACCAGCCATGGAAGGCTCACCGGGATCATCCGTCAATGACGCCGACACCACCAACTTCGAGCCTCACAGCAAGCGGCGCAAACTTCGGAAAGGAACAACAAGCTGCTGGCATTGCAAGAAGCGAAAGGTCAAATGCACATTTGATGCGACGTCTGACACCATATGTGTAGCATGTCGCCGTCGGAAGGTGCCATGCGTTCTCCAGACTCAGCCGGAAGAGGAATTCCTTGGAGGCAACGATAGCAGTCAAGAAGCATCACTGCTGCGTCCTAGTAGAGGCTCAAACAATATCGCCAATGCTCCTGATATTCCATATGAGCATCTTCTCCAACGCTTGCAAAGGGCAGAAGCATTGCTTGCGCGATCGGAAAATCCAGGAGACGACGCAACAATCAGCCATGTGCAGCTTCCAACACCTAGCTCAGCCGCGCTGACACCGGAACAACCTCTTCTACAAACGGAAGACGGCGAGAGCATATCATCCGCCCTACGTCGAGCGTATCCACCGCAACAAGATCTGGAGCTCTTGTGCAAGACCGATCGCAACGCGACCTTGTACAGCTACCAATGTCTCACGACATCCATCGACCCCTCACAAAACGAATCATTGGACATTGCCGACGATCTGGCTACAATTCCTGACCATTCGAGTATACCTCCGGTTCTGATCGCTAGGCATATGCTCATCCTCGCCCTTATGCTACAGTACTTTCGGTGCAACAAGGGCGATTGCATCTCAGGGGATCCAGGTGTCCTCGCCACTCGCTTGGTGGAAACAGTTGTTCGTTTGGTCGTCACCAAAGACCATCTGATAGGCTGCATCGAAGGACTAGAATGTATCGTTTACGAAGCCACCTTCCAATCCAACGCCGGCAACCTTCGGCGAGCTTGGATCGCCTTCAGAAGAGCCATGGTGTTTGCGCAGCTGATGAGACTGGATACATCAAGCCCTCCGCCTGTCAAGTATCTGGAGAGCAAGCACAGGGTGGACCCTAAATTCCTTTGGTTCCGGATTGTTCATATGGACAGCTATCTTAGCCTGATGCTTGGTCTACCTCATGGGGGCCAAAAGATGAGCGTGGAGAACTCCATTCCTGGGACCAGTGTAAGCTGTCGAATAGACCGAGCACATACTCTCATCGCCTGTGGTATCGTTGACCGCAACCGAGGAGACCCACACCAGAATATCGAAGCTACCCGTAAAATAGATCGCGACCTCCAGAACGTCGCGGCATCAGTTCCTGACAAGTACTGGCTCGCACCCAGTTTTACTGGTCTCCAACCAAATGCAAGAGAGACTTTTGAGGAACTAATGCGGCTTCGAAGTCAGATCTACCAGTACAATCTGCTTCACCTCCTCCATCTGCCTTTCCTCATACGCTGCGCCACAGGATCTGACTTCCACATGTACGCCAAGATCACCTGCATCAACGCGGCCCGAGAGATTCTCACAAGATTCGTCGCATTTCACAATTTCCGGCCCATCTCTACCCAATCGTGCCATACAGCCGACTTCTTTGCGCTGATGGCGGGTATGACAATACTGATCGCGCACATAGACAGCAGGCGCTGGAAGGATCAAAGTTTTCTAGTGCACCAGCGACCCGGTGATCGCGCGATGGTAGAGCAGCTTGTCGAAAAGCTGGAACTCGTCGAGACACAGACGAACGATCCTCTCACGGGCAAGAGCGCTGAGCAACTTCGTAACTTGCTGCTGATTGAAAGCGACGCCGCGCGTGGATTCAGTCACAGCAGCGAGAGCACGGTTAATCGGCTTGAAGAGGGCTGCGGCGAACAGTTTCAGCTCTCAATTCCATATTTTGGGATCATCAAGATTGGTGCGAACGGCATCACCAAGCAATGGCCAGGTTCCCAGACTTCTAGTGCGGTAATGTTTGATGTGCCCTCTGATTTGAACGCAGTGGGTGTCGATGACAACATTGCTTCGTTCGGTCAGGATATTAACGGCAATCCGTCATCCAACCTGCTGATACCAGAATCGGGCACGCAGCACTCTCAGTCAATGCCACTAGCACTTCATGATGATATCTTCGACACGTCGCAATATTATCCAGGGTGGGCCGCCGGAACGGACGATTGGGCGCTTCAAGGTGTAGACGCAGCATTCTTTGAGTCACTGATGGGAGGAGTCGGAAATTGGGATGACACACTACTAGGGAGTAGTTAGACTCGGTAATAGTATTAAGCTGTGCTTCTGGGTATACATCGTCTAGATTCTAGGCTCCCAAAACATGAACTAGTCGTGTTGCGCCTTGTCCAACAACTCCTTCAATATCTTTGCCGTGCTCCTCATACCCTGCAGCGCGTTCTCGTCCGGCCCTTGTCCTGGTGTCCACGTCGCATGTGCAAAGTCAATCATCTTGACTTCGGCTAGCTTAGGCACAGTCTCCTCGTCGTCCTCATCCTCGTCTTCGGGATGCGCGGAACGTAGCTTCTGCTTGGTGTTTGCATACTCGTCTACATCACCCTCATAAACCAATAATATGCTTGCGCTGTACATCCTGCTCTCTTTGCTTTCGAAGACCTCTTGAATGTCCTTGACCTCACCCAAAAAGTAAGCGAGCACCTCCCTCGCCCGGTCAAGCTCCGCTTCTGACTTGGCGCCGGGAAAGATGTAGTCTGTGAAGCCCTCGCCAACATCTTCGGCGCTAAATTTGCGTCCATACATTTTGTTGTACACCCAATAGCCGCCCTCCTTATCCGTCTCAACATACTCCTTGAGATCTTCCGGAACCTCAGGTACCTCAGCTCCCTTGTATGTGCGCATGCCTGCTATCCGGAAACCCAGGCTGCCGCTTGTAGTCTCTTTGCTCACAGCATCTAGCCGCGCTCTCTTTTCCGGCTTCGCAGCCTCGTCCCACAACTGCGCGCCAAGCTTCAGATCCAGAACATTCGGCTTCTTGAAGCCGTGTGTAATGTTCTCTAGTACTATGTGAAGATCGGTCGCGAGCTTTTTGCCATGCAGGCGCTCGATTGTACCATCCGCCGTTTGTATGGTGCCGCTTTCGACGGACTCGGTAGCGGCGGTCTGGTCGGCTGAGAGGGAGAGCTGGCCCATGAAGGTGGGGAGATGGCGCGCGAGGTCTGGGTGGTCGGCGAGGGATTCGTAGAAGTCAATTTCAGCGAGGGTGCATGGTTTTACTACTACGCCGCCGGATGGGTCGCTGAGCACGCCGTCGCTGGTGTTGTGTTAGTCTGGTACACGAGGCTGACAGGCAGCCGGTGGAGACTTACTGGCCAGCAGCAGCACTGCCATATGCTACGAGTTTCGACGCGTCATATTGTTTGGAGGCCATGTTCCTTGGTCTGTATAGAGGGTTTGGTCGGGATATCAGTATGATTGTACTCGTGGTTAGTGTCTAGGTGGAAGATACATGGCGGGCTGGCCCCACGGGTGTTTCAGGGTCCTCCGTCACGAGTCAGCCAATGCTGTCATCACCAAATTCATTATTCGTGTGCTGAGTATCATCCAGTAGCGTGAGTGTGAGTGTATGACTTGCATGTCTTCTACACGACTCTATTGCCGGGCACAATGTGAAATTCTATTGCAGATATGATCTCGCTGAACTATCGTAGCGGCACGCCCGAGGAAATGTCGCATGCGTCGCAATTAACCAAGTCGACATCTCACCGTGGTGTTGCCCGCATCCGTCAAATCTTTGGCGATGCACTCACCGTATGAGGCGTTTGTATGAACGAAAAGTCCGTAATAGGAAGCTACGACCGTCAGTATGGGCTAGTCGCGCTCTCTCACCCCCAGGTCCAGCGCAGTCACCCACGAGGCATGGTTTGCAGCTGCCTCACTAGCGCGCCGACATCCCATGCCCAATCCTCTCTATATCACCCTCTATAACCTCAAGTCTCTTTCAGTCAGCTCTTGATATCCCCGAACCTCAATACAGAGAGTAGCAACCATGGCAACCGCAATTGCAGCACCTTCTGTGGACGCAGGACCTCCCAATGGAGCCTTCTCCAACATCACTGCCACTTCTCAAGTCACCAGCACTGTGCTGGACCACCCAGATGGGGCAGAGATCCGTCGTCAAGTACGTTTCCCAGTCCCCAGTCTCGCGGTAAGTTTTTCAGATCAACTAATCGTTCTTCAAGGTGGAGTTCTACTTTTCCGATGAGAATCTCCCTACCGACAAGCACATGTTACAGTGCTGTGGCGGGCGTGAGAACATCCCCGTCTCCGTCAGTCGCATCTGTGGTTTTCAAAAGATGCGAAAATACAAGCCCAAGTCCCTAGTTTCTGCGGCTCTTCGACTGAGCGCCTTCTTGGAAGTCTCTGCTGACGGAAAGACCATCAAGCGCAAGGTTCCTCTAACCGGGAAGTGCATTTTGGATCCAGATTACTTCGATGCCGACGACGATAACGACATCGCCTATGCCCCAGGATCACGGAAGGCCAAAGCTCAGCAGCCCGCCCAGTACCCAGTACCACTACTCCCTCAAGCCAAGATCAAGCACCCTG